TGACATATCCCAAGTTGGGGAACCTCATGTGGGGCTGGGACCTTTTGCTCCTCATGGGGAGCCTCTGCAGCCTAGATATCCCTCTTGATTCCCAACCACCGCATCGTGGCTATGGGACCTGCCTGTTCCACATCTCTGCCCCTCCTACCAGTTTCAACATGGCTTCTTTACATCATTAGTTTTAGGGGTTCTGTTCAGCTAATCTTCAGCTGGTTCTCAAGGGTGGTGATTTTATAATTTAGTTGTAATTTTGTTGTGGTCATGGGAGTAGGCGAGCACAGTGTTACCTACTCTACCATTTTCACTGGAAGCCTCTAGATTTTATCTTTATAGGAAAGTATATTACTAAAAATATATGTTGAACAGAGATGCGAATAATTATGGTCTGTTCATTCTGGTTTACTGATGTTGTTGTATATGTTTTATGGTATTTTCTTCCCCCGGAGAGAATTATTTCTGTAAATAATTTTGTTGGGCTTCATCTCAACTTTAAATTTTTTGGTAATAGTATATGTGAAAGCATCTTAATAGCTCTGTATATGAATGCTTTTCTCCATAAGATTGTAAGGTTATAATCTTTTTGTACTCTTTTCAATATCAGACTTTCTTCTTCTGTCTCTCTGGAGGAAAAGGAAGGGGGAATAATGAAGAAATTCTATAGCTTCTGATAAGCTTTGGGTACACAGTGACTTTAGTGCTGATATAGCTCTGCTTGACACAGACATGAACCCCTATCAACAGGACTTACATGCAGCTGAATGTCAGCAGGGACTGCCTTCACACAGCCAAGCATCTTGTCTACAATGTCTGTTTATTCAGAAGAATCCACTTCCAATAATGGCATTGCCACTGTTGGCTGTTAACACTTCATAGCTGATTGGTTGCACCTATCTCTGTTTGCTTTACCCTTCTTTCTTGTTGTTGAGTCATTTACTAGTATTTAAGTGACTAGATTTGGGAATTTTGTTAACTTCATTTACTTTTGTTGCAGGTGTTTGAAAATTTTGGATTGTAGAGAATTAGGAAAGAAGTTAGCTTGACACTTAAAATGCTGCTGGAATGAACACTATTTTTATGATTCATTGTAGTTCTGCAATGGCTCTGTTACTGCTGAGCATTCTCAAGTTTTAAACACTGTAGAAATGTTTGTTATAGCATCCTTTTGCTGGTCAGTTACTTTTAAGATGAAAAAAAACCCTTATTTTGATGTTATTTTTAATGGAATGAATCTCTTCAATCTTGACAGGGCTTAGTATGGTATTTTTACTTTCATAATTTCTCATTGGGGTGCTATCTTTTCTTCCTGTACTTTTCTTCCTCCGCCAATTCCTTCCTCCTCTTTCTGCTTTTCTTTCTTTCAGATTGGGAAATCAGGCTTTCTAGAGGAGATGATGCCTGATCTAAGAATGAAAGGACAGGTAGGGTTTAGGTAGGCATGAAAGAGAGGGAGAGGGCAGAGACTTCATAAGAGGTTAAGGTGTAAATAATAAATAGTATGTGGTTAGGGTAACCAAAAGCTATTTGGAATTTCTAGAACTTGTATTAAAAGCAGTTTATTGCCCTGGCCGGTTTGGCTCGGCGGTTAGAGCGTTGGCCCATGGTCCAGAGAGACCTGGGTTCAGTTCCCGCTAAGGGCACGTACTTCAGTTGCAGTTTGTCCCCTGCCCTGGTTGGGGTTGTGTGGATGGCAGCCAGTTGATGTGTCTCTCTCACATCGAAGATGAATGCAAAAGTATCCTTGGGTGAGGATAAAAAGAAAAAAATAGCAGTTTATTATTACTTGAGTTGTTGATTATCTTGATGAACCCATATATATTACAACCTTAGGATTTTCCCATTTTTATAGCATTTTTGTTTGTTCTTTAACTTCCATTCTTGATTGTGCTAGCCTAGCAATAGATATTCTTATTTTTTCTGGATTCAATAGCAGAGAGTAGCTGCTAGCTAAAATTCTAGTGTAATTTCTTATTTATTTTCTTGACTCCAATATCTTTTTTTTTTTTTAGATGAGAATAAGCTCAAAGTAAAGGGTGAGAATGTTAACCAATTTAGTTAGTCTATCCTTTTGAGTTCTGGTGTGGTTGTTTCTTGCATTGTAGTGTGTCTCTTGATGTTGTTTAAATTTGTCTGGGAACTTGGCTTTAGTGTAATATTTGAGAGTTTACAGTGTGCTTTGTTGTACAGGAAATAAATCTTTGTCATCAATTGAAAGACAACTAGGCTAACTATCAGAAGAAAGGAATTACCTTAGAGGCTCTTTCTCTGTCTCAGTTTCTGGGGTTCAGACTCATTAAATTATCAAGTGTCTTCTAAAATACTAGAAATTAGAACATTTTCTTTTCATACTAAAGATTTATAAGTCCAGCTCATAGTGATCTTATAGGTTTTAAACTTTATTTGAATATACTACATATAGAATAAGTGTTTTATGTGTGTCCCATTTTTCTGTTTTGAAAATTCTTCTTAATTTAAAATGTATAATAGGGTATAGTGCAGGTGAGTGAGAATGTGTATATAATTGTTGTGTTTTACCAATTTGTAAACTTTGTTTTTAGACAGGAACTCTTATGCTTTTTGTGTGCTTTGTATGGTACTAAAAGTGTGAAAGATTCTTGTTGACTGTTAATTATCTGAAAATACCTTCCTTTACTTCAGATCAAATATAAATAACCTCAATATATAATTAACCTTTTTTATTAGGATTGTGTTTTATATTTTGGCCAGATTAAATTTAAGATGGATTTGTGTTAGCTGGTAAAGAAGTAATTCATTGTATTAGAGGGGAAAGATAAAATTTTCCAGAGTACTGGTTTGCATCTATTGTCCAGTAGCCATTTACTTTCAAAACAGTTTCTCAAAATTTGTTTTGTCAGTCTTTCATCAAAAATTTGAATACTGATTATACCAAGTGCTGTGTTGTACCTCAGAGTAAAAAGCTGATAATAGTAAGTCCTAGAAAGTTTTTATTGAAGACACACACAAAGATATAAATTGCAGATCAGACTGATAAGTGCTATTCTTATACAGGACTGTTTTAGCACAGATTACAGCATCAAATAGCCTGAGGAAGCTGGAAGCTTGACTTAGATGACTTCAGTAAGAATTTAAGAGCTCTTTTGCATCTTGAATTAATGAAGTTTATATATTTACATGTTTCAGAAAAAAAAATTGTCCTTAATTGAACATAATAGGGTACAATACTGCTAATTTTCCAACTAGTCATTTTGACAAATCATGCATTCAGTTCTCTGTGATGTATTATTTGTTGTAATGATGACCATTTTCATGTATCCATAATATTCTTTTTTTCTAACTAAAAGTTTTAGAACTCAGGATAAATTGGATCAAAGCATTCTTTTTTTTTTTAATTAATTTATTTTTGTCACAGATGTTTCTCCTGTTTTCTACATTGACACCATCCTCCCTATCTCCCCCTACCCCGTCCCCAGCTTTGTTGTCTCTGTTCATCGGTTATGTGTACATGCATATAAATTCTTTAGTTTATCTCTTCCCTCCCCCTCCCCCCCTCCTCTGAGGTTTGTCAGTCTGTACCCTACTTCCACATCTCTGGGTTTACCCTGTTACTCATACTGTTATGTTCATTATATTCCACAAATAAGTGAGATCATGTGCTACATGTCTTTCACCGACTGGCTTATTTCACTTAGCATAATACTCTCCAGGTCCCTCCATGTTGTCTCAAAGGATAAGAGATCTTTCTTTCTTACAGCTGCATAGTATTCCATTGTGTATATGTACCACAGCTTTTTTTTTATCCACTCATCTATTGTTGGACACTTTTTTAAAGCTTTGAATGATTACCTTTGAGTAATACTAGTTTCAGTGGACTGGGAGAATTGCTTTGTTTTGAATCTAAGCTCTGTCACTTACTGTGTCATCTTGGCCAAGTTATTTAAATCTCTGTAAGCCTAGTGTTATCATCAACAAAATTGAAATAATAGTATATGTCTCATAGTGAGGATTAAATAAATTAACACATAAAAAGTGCTTGGCATCCCAGCCAGTGTGGCTCAGTGGTTGAGTGTCAACCCATGCACCAAGAGGTTGCCAGTTCCATTCCTGGTCAGGGCACATGCCCAGGTTGTGGGCCAAATCCTCAGTGGGGTGGACATGCAGGAGGCGGCTGGTTGATGTTCTCTCTCATTGATGTTTCTGTTCTCCCTCTCCCTTCCTTTCTCTCTAAAATCTATAAAGAAAAAAATTTATGTGAAAAAAAGTGCTTGGCACAATCTGGCATGTAGAAAGTACTCATTAAATACTAGTAGTTATTATTTAATGTGTAAATATAATGGTAAATTATTAAAAGTCATATTATGTTTTGATGTCTTTTGTTTTTTATTTGGTGAAATTTTTTTTTTTTTTATCCTCACCTGAGGACATTTTTCTATTTTTTATTCAGATAGAGCGGGAGGGAGAGAGAGGAAGAGAGAGAGAGAGAGAGAAACATCGATGTGAAAGGGACACATTGTGTTGCTGTCACCCACATGACCCAACCAGGGCCGGGGACAAACCACAACCGAGGTACATGCCCTTAGCGGAACCGAACCCAGGTCTCTGGACCACAGGCTGACACACTAACTGCTGAGCCAAACCGTCCAGGGCTGGTGAAATTTTTTATATGATGTATTTGTATTCGTGTGGATTTCCTATGTCTTTTCCCTACCCTCTCCTCAGTTCTGTGTAGTAATACCTTAGTTACTTTGAACAGTGTCTTTATTTTGTCATGGCTTATGCAAAGTGAGGAGCTGCCATACTTGTTTCCTTTTGGAAATAAACACAAGTTACAAATTACTGATATTTTACAGATTACTTCAATTATTTTTTAAGTCAATGTAATACCTAGTAACGTGAATACTGATTGGCCAAATGCAGAGTTTTGAGAGCCCTGCTGGTTACTTTCTGACTCCCCAGTCTGCTCTGTTTTTTGCTTCTTGAGGAAGAAAGCTGATGTGGGATTTTCTTTTTTGTCTTGTTTCTAGCACATGCAAATGACAATTCAGGCTCTACAGGATGAATTACGGATCCAAAGGGACCTGAACCAGCTGTTTCAGCAAGATAGTAGCAGCAGGACTGGTGAACCTTGTGTGGCAGAGCTGACAGAGGAGAACTTCCAGAGGCTACATGCTGAACATGAAAGACAGGCCAAAGAGCTGTTTCTTCTTCGAAAGACTCTAGAGGAAATGGAACTGCGTATTGAGACTCAGAAGCAAACCCTGAATGCTCGGGATGAATCCATCAAGAAGCTTCTAGAAATGTTGCAGAGCAAAGGACTTTCTGCCAAGGCTACTGAAGAAGACCATGAGAGAACAAGACGACTGGCAGAAGCAGAGATGCATGTCCACCACCTAGAAAGCCTTTTGGAACAGAAGGAAAAAGAGAACAATATGTTGAGAGAGGTGAGTGACCATTTTTTTCAGTTGTTATAACTTACTTTTTATCATGATTAGCACCTTAGTCTAGATAAATTTATATGCTCTACTGAGCTAGTGGAAGGGAATTTTTTCTTTGGTTTTTAAGTGGTTCACTGGTTTCCATTCTGATTTGCTCTCTCTTTCTTTTTTTCTTAAATCCTCACCCGAGTTCATTTTTTGCATTTATCTTCAGAGCGGGAGGGAGAGGGGGAGGAAGAGAGAGAGAGAGAGAGAAACATTGATATATGAGAGACACATCGACTGGGTTGCCACCCACAAGATCCCAAACGGGTCCGGGGACAAACTGCAACCGAGGTACATGCCCTTAGTGGGAACCAAACCTGGGACTCTCTGGTCTGAGGGCCGGTGCACTCACCACTGAGCAAAACCGGCCAGGGCTGCTCTCTTGTTTGGGATGACATTTACTGGGATATATACTGGCTTGGAAAAACTCTGAATCTTTTATTCCCATCTCCTGGTTTCTGTAGACTCATTTTGTTGCTAGAGGGGCATGGAATCTTCTTTATTTGTAACACATCTTTTGATTTGTTCAGAGAGATGCACACAACAAAACCAGAATTGGAGCAGCAACTATTACTCATTTTAAAAATATTAATATAAGAGAAAGTAAACAGTAACTTCAGTTTAGGTGTTTTCATAAAGTCCTTGGCAGCAGTAACAGATGTTTGCCTTGTGGTTTCCATGGAAACTGTTGCCTTGCTGTAAAATATAAGTGATAAAAATCATTTGCCGCCACGGGGGCATAGCTAGGATGACATATTAGCACACTGTCACTTATTTTTTAGAGAGTAAACTCAGACTTCAGCTGGCCACTGTGACTATTGATAATTTTTCACTTTTTTAGATAATGCTACATTTTAAGATGGCATAGATAATCTTTTATTGAATTAAAAAAGTTGACAGCTGTGTATGTGTCAGAGACTTCAGATAACTTTCAGATTGGATAGGGAAAAAAAGAACTTAGAATTGTGTTAGTGCTAGTGTAATTCCTTTCTAAATGAAGTGTGAAGAAGGAGGTTGGAAAAATGAAATATTCCTCAAAAGAATACTTTTAAATTTATATTTTGTTCTATAATATCTTCCTTTGCAAAAAATCTGATTTTTTTAAAAATTCAACACCAGAGGATATTTTTCCATTGATTTCTAGATAGAATGGAAGGAAGGGAAGGGGGGCGGGGAGAAAGAGAGAGACACATGTAGAAAAGACACATCAATTGGTTGCCTCCTGTATGACCCTGACCAGAGCTGGGGATTGAACCCGCAACCCAGGTATGTGCCCTTGACCAGGAATCAAACCCGCAACCCCTCGATCTGCAGGCTGATGGTCTAACCGCTGAGCAAAACTGGCCAGGGCAAAAATCTATAATATTTTAAGTGAGGACATTTTTATTTTTGAAAAAGAAATTCACTGTTTTTTAAGCAATTCACAGAAAAAATCCATTGTAGTTTCTTACTGTAAAATTCGAAAATAGAATAGCAAAAACTTTAGACCCAGGGTATCTTTACTTAGTGATAACTGTTAATTTTAATTATATGTAGATTTTTAGTCATTTTTATTATGTATACATTCTTTCATCATTTCTATATTTATTTTCCTTAAAAAGATTGCAAGCTGTTCATCAGTATTATCTAATATAACTTTTTGTGATGATAGAAATATTCTCTATCTGCACAGTCCAATATGGCAGCCACTAGTCACTTGTGACTATTTAGCCACAGTCCAATGTGGCTAGCATGACTGAGGAGCTGACTTTAAAACTTTAACATTAAATTTAATTAGTCAAATTTAAATTTAAGTATCTACATGCAGCTAGTGGCTACTGTATTAGATAGTGCAGCAATGCATAATGTACTGTCACCTGCTTTTCTTAATAATTTGTCTTGACTTTGTCAGTACATGTAGAGTTTTGTAATTTCAAATACATTTATAATGTTTCATTGCATTTATTTGAATGTCTCTTACTGTTGAACATTTAGACACAGTTGTATTATGAAACTGCTGCACTATCCTTAATCATATATCCCTGTACATTAATTTGTAAGGATAAATTCCTATAAATAACTTTGCTCAAAGAGTGTCTACACTTTTGAAACTTTGAATAATCTTGTCTTTTACAATGATTAGACCAGTTGATCCTCCGAACAGCATATACTAGATTCTTATAATTAACCTGTAGTAGTGCATATGCTGTGCTCTTCAAATTACTACAGCATACAGTACTGTTTTAGAAAAATTTCTGTTAATTTCTATGTTATAGGCACATCCTATGTTTCTTTCAGTTTATTTTTTCATTTTTAAATTATTTTGCATTTTATTTTATTATTATTTTTAATAGTTTTACTTTATTTTTTCCATCACCTTTTATCCACTCTATGACCTCTACCATCATCCCCTTCCACCCCTGAAATTACCATTCTGTTGTTCATGTACAGAGGCAACCAATTGATGTTTCTCTCTCCCTCCTTCCTTCTCTTTCCCCTCTCCTTCCCTCTTTTCCACTTTCTTTCTAAAACCAAAAAACCACCCAACTCTCTCTCACTTTATTTTAAAAACTTTATATATTAATGAGATCATTTGGATCCTCACAGTTAGCCAGCCAGAGGGTTGATTCTGCATAGGAACAGACCAATAGCAATCAAGACTCAGTGACAACAGCTGAGCTCACATAACCAACACAAGGAAATTCCTGGAGCACCAGTTCAGGTGATCAAGGAGACTGTACCACTGGACCCCACAGGACACCTATCACATGAGGCCACCCTACAAAGACAGAGAGTCATAGTAGGTTTATCTAATATGTAGAAACAAACACAAAGGGGAAGCCATAATGAGGAGACAAAGAAAGAGGGCCCAAATAATAGAACAGGAGAAGTCTCCAGAAAAAGAGCTAAATGAAATGGAGGCAAGCAGTTTATCAGATACAGAGTTCAAAGTAATGGTTATAAGGATGACCAACAGCATGAAAAAGGACACAGAAACCATAAAAAAGAACCAGGAAGAAAAGAAGACAATATTTGAAATGAAGAATACACTGGAAGGAATAAATAGTAGGTTGGATAAAGCTGAGAATTGAATCATCAATATGGAAGACATGGTAGAAAAAACACCCAGTCAGAGCAGCAAAAAGAAAAAAGAATTTAACACAATGAGGACAGTTTAAGGGACCTTTGGAACAATATGATGTGTTACAACATCTACATCATAGGAGTACCAGAAGAAGAGAGAGAACAAGGGATCAAGAACCTATTTGAAGAAATAATGACAGAACCTACCCCGATGAAGGAAAAAGACATGCATGTCCAGGAAACACAGAGTTCTAAACAAGGTGAAACCAAAGAGGCTCACACCAAGACACATCATAATTAAAGTGCCAAAGGTTAAAGAGTGAATCTAACCAGAGGCTTGTTTTGTGCATTTATCTTCAGATAAAGTGAGAGGGAGAGAAGAGGAAGTGAGAGAGACACATTGAGTGGTTGCCCCCCACACAACCCCAAACTGCAACCGAGGTATGTGCCCTTAGCAGGAACCGAACCCAGGACTCTCTGGTCCATGGGCCGAAGCTCTAACCATTGAGTCGAACTGGCCAGGGCCAAAGAGTGAATCTTAAAAGCATCAAGAGAAAGACAGTTACCTACAAGGGAGCTCTCATAAGACGATTTATCAACAGAACCATTTCAGAACCGAAGGGATTGGCATGAAATGTTCAAAGTGATGAAAAAAACAAGGACCTACAACCAAGACTATTTTACCCAACAAAACTACCATTTAAAAGTGAAGGAGAAGTAAAGAATTTCACAGACATGAAAAAGCTAAAGGAGTTCATTACCACCAAATCAGTACTGTATTAAAGAAATGTTAAAAGGTCTTCCTTAAAAAGAGGAAGAAAAAGAAGAAGGAGAAGAAACACCCAGATTAATATAGCTATAAAGAAAAAAATGTTAATAATTACATATCTATCAATAATCACTTTAAATATAAATGGCTTAAATGCTCCAATCAAAAGACATAGGATAGCTGAATAGATAAGAAAACAAACCCATACATATATATGCTCTGTAGAAGAGACCCACTTCAGAATAGAAGACTAAAAGCAAAGAAATAAAAAATGGTATTTCATACAAATGCAAAAGAACAAAAATGCTGGTGTAGCACTACTTATATCAGACAAAATAGACTTCAAAATAAAGGACATAACAAGAGACAAACAAGAACATTACATAATGCTAATGGGATCAGTCCATCAAGAGGATATATTCCTTGTAAACATTTATGCATTCCAAACAGGAGCACTTAAATATGTAAAGCAAATCTCATAAAGAAAGAAACTGACAGCCCTGGCCAGTTTGGCTCAGCGGTTGGTTAGAGCGTCGGCCTGCGGTCCGGAGAGACCCGGGTTCGGTTCCCGCTAAGGGCACGTACTTCGGTTGCAGTTTGTCCCCGGCCCTGGTTGGTCGTGCGGGTGGCAAGAACATTACATAATGCTAATGGGATCAGTCCATCAAGAGGATATATTCCTTGTAACATTTATGCATTCCAAACAGGAGCACTTAATATGTAAAGCAAATCTCATAAAGAAAGAAACTGACAGCCCTGGCCGGTTTGGCTCAGCGGTTGGTTAGAGCGTCGGCCTGCGGTCCGGAGAGACCCGGGTTCAGTTCCCGCTAAGGGCATGTACTTCGGTTGCAGTTTGTCCCCGGCCCTGGTTGGTCGTGCGGGTGGCAGCCACTCGATGTGTCCCTTCACGTCGATGTTTCTGTCTCTCTCTCCCTTCCTCTCTCTCCCTCCCACTCTATCTGTCTGTACAAAAAATGGAAAAATATCCTCGGGTGAGGATAAAAAAAAAAAAAAAAAGAAAGAAACTGACAGTAGTGCAGTCAGAGTAGGTGATTAAAACCCCTCATTGACATCAATGGATAGATCTTCTAGTCAGAAAATCAGCAAGGAAATGGTGGCCTTAAAGGAC